AAAAAAAAAAAAAAAAAGCAGGAAAAAGAGAAGGATATTCACTCTCAATACTACTATTTAATATAAAACTTGCTGATGCTATAAAGAAAAAAAGAAAATGAGGTATAAGTTGTGGCAGGAATTGGTAAAACTCATTTGTAAATGGTATGCATGACTACCTTAAAGAACTAACAGAATGACAAGAAAAAATAATCGGATTAATAAGGTTTTCAGCAAGGTTTTCCAACATAAGATCAGCCTGTAAAAATCAAAAGCATGTCTCTACACCAGCAATAACCAACAAGAAAATAAAGTAGGAATGAATTGTATCATTACAATAAACCTCTATTAAAAATTTAAACTCCAAAACAGAAATAGATGATCTGAATAAAAGGACAGACATATCATGCTCTTTTCTGGGGAGATTTTGGTGAGGTAATAATTATCTATTGGAAGCAAATTACCCCAAAACTTATTGGCTTAAAACAAGAAACATTTATATCGCATGGTTTCGGAGGGTCAGTATTCCAGAAGTGGCTTAGCTGGGTGGTTCTGGCTCAGAGTCTCATGAGGTTACAGTCAGGATGTCAGCCAGGACTACAATTACCTGAAGGCTTGGATCCACTTTTTTTTTTTTTGAGTTGGAGTGTCACTCTGTTGCCCAGGCTGGATTGCAGTGGTGGCCACCATGGCCTCCAACTGCTGGACTCAGGCAATCCTTCTGCTTCAGCCTTTTAAGTAGCTAGAACTACAGGCATGTGCCACCATGCCCAGCTAATTTTTTTATTTATTGTAGAGACAAGGTCTTGCCCAGGCTGGTCTCAAACGCATGGACTCAGACAATCCTCTTGCCTCCACCTCCCAAAATGCTGGAATTACAGGCGTGAGCCACCATGCCCAGTGGGATCCACTTTTAAGAAGGTTTGCTCACATGGCTGTTGGCAGGTGGCCTCAGTTTCTTTCCACCTGGGTTACTCCATAGGGCTGCTTGTGACATACCAGCTAACATCCTGCAAAGTGAGCAATCTGCATGACAGAGCAGGAAGCTGAAGTGCCTTTTGTGACCTGGTCTTGGAAATGACACACTATCATTTCTGCCTCATTATGTGCTTTACAAGTGAGTCACCAGTTCAGCCCACACTCAAATGGAAGTTAGACTCAAACTCTTGACAGGAACAGTATTAGAGTATCATATCCTGAAACCTCCTCAGTTAATGTTATTCAGATGTTATTTCTAAATCTATAAATTCAATACAATCCCAAGAAAACTTCCATGACTTTTTTTTAAGAACTGCAATACACTTACATTAGACTTTAAAATATTAAAGGTCATGGATAGCTAAGCTAGCCTTCAAAAGGAAGAGTTATTATGGGGACTTGCCCATTAGATATTGAGACATACTAAAGGTCTTAGTAATTAAAGAAAAGAGCCTGATATTGGCCCAAGAGTTGAGAAGCAGACCAATAGTAAAAGAAACAAAAATAGCTCAGAAATTGGGTGCAGTATCTTGTACCTATAATCCTGTGACTCCGGAGGCTGAGGCCAGGAGTTCAAGACCAGCCTGGGATCATCTCTAAACAAAATAAAAAATAAAAAATAAAACCCCAAATAAAAAACAGCTCAGAGACAGAGCCTATGGAACTTAATATATGAGAGAGGTGGTAACACACACAAACAAGGATTGGGTGGTTGCCTAATGGGACATCTGGCTCATCTGAGAAAAAATCAGATCTCTATCTCACACTATGTACAAGAAAAATCTGTACATGGATTAAAGACCTAAAATGTGAGAGCAAAACTATAAAGTTAATAAAAGGAACTAAGAGCATCTTGTGACTTAGGGGAAGAGAATGACTTTTGTTTTTTTGAGTTTGAGTCTCACTCTGTCATCCAGGCTGAATTGCAGTGGCATGCTAACAGCCACTGCAACCTCAACCTGCTGAACTCAGGTGATCCTTCCACCTCAGCCTTCCAAGTAGCTGGAACTACAGACTACTTGGAATAATTTTTTGATTTTAATTATTCCAATCAAATAATTTCAATTGTAATAATTTTTTGATTTCATGTAGAGATGAGATTTCACCAAGTTGCCCAGGCTAGTCTTGAACCCCTGGGCTCAGGCAATCCTCTTGCCTCCTCCTCCCAAAGTGCTGGGATTACAGGTGTGAGCCACTGCCCCCAGCCGAGAACAATTTCTTTAAAAGCACAGACCATGCCGGCTTGGTGCCTCAGCCTGTAATCCCGCACTTTGGGAGGCTGAGGTGAGTGGAATGCCTCAGCCCGCGGGTTCAAGACCCGCCTGGGCAGCTTGGCGAGACCTCATCTCTACAATAAATCAAAAACTAGCCGGGTGTGGTAGCGCATGCCTGTAGTTCCAGCTACTTGGAAGGCTGAGGCGGAAGGATTGCCAGAGCCCAGCAGGCCGAGGCTGCGGTGGCTGGGAGCGGCCACTGCACTCCAGTCTGGGCAACAGAGTGAGACTCCAACTCAAAAGTAAATAAATAAATAAATAAAAGCACAGACCATAAGGAAAAAAAGAATTGATTATATCAAAACTAAAGATTTTTATTCAACGAAGGTTACAACTCTCAAAGTTAATAATAAATGCCAGAGCCAGAGAGGCTATTTCCAACACCTAAGGGATTAATAATTAGACAATGTGAGGAACCCCTGAAAAGCAACAGGAAGAAAAATATGGGAACTGGCCCAACGGGAGTATGGATGAGTAGCACACCGTACTCTGTGTGTAAATATAATCGGTGTTGGGGGTGGGGCAGACCATTGAAAGGCTGGACAAGTCCATTCCATTGATAAGAAATTTAGAGTCTCTGAGGGCAAACTAACCCATTCTTCCTTGATGGGGAGCTCAGAAATGAAAAATCTGTCAAATCCATTTATTGTAAAGGTATTTTGCACACTGAAGGTTAGACAAGACCACACTGTGAGACTGAGCACTGTGGCTCACGCCTGTAATCCTAGCACTTTGGGAGGCTAAAATGGGAGGATCACTTGAGGCCAGGAGTCTGAGACCAGCCTGGGCAACAAAATGAGACCGCATCTCTACAAAAAATAAATAATAAAAATAAATTAGCGGGGTTGGTGGCAGAAGCCTATAGTCCCAACTTCTCAGGAAGCTGAGGCAGGAAGATCCCTTGAGCCCAGGAGTTCGAGGCTGCAGTAGGCTACAATTGCGCCACTGCGCTCCAGCCTGGGCGACAGAGCAAGTCTGTCTCTAAAATAAATAAACAAATAAAAAAGACCAAATTGTGGGCAGTGGGCTCAGACACTAATTTCTTTGAATAAGTCCATTGTGTAGTGTGAAAGCCCTTTCTGTGAGTCAAGGATTCAGCTACTCTTGAGTGACAGCAAAAATTGTTCTGTGGATTGGGATTTACACCCTCTGAAGACTGGACCATCCTGTTTTGTAGAAGGCCTCTCAAGCAGTTTACTGGTGGAACAATCAAGGCGCTGCCTTTACAGGGCAGTCAGATAAGGATGAGGACTGAAATCAGAGATGAAAAGGAAGAACGCTACGGAAAAGGGTCCGTGACATTGCTAGATAGGTAAAAAGTAGGTGTCACGGACGCTGAAAACGTAGGATCTGACGTCAAGGACTGTGATGACATCAGGGTCAGTGGTGAATAAAATGTCGGGCCCTTGGGGGGTATGAGGTTAGAGGACTAGAACGCAAAGGAAGTGGACATCAGAATGTCGGCAGCGACCTAGAAAAAGACGACTGCGATGGTGAGGGAATCAGATCCAATGGAGGAAATGACGTCAAGACGGGAGGGTAGCGTTAGGAACGGAAAGGGATATGAGCGCGAGAAGGTTAGTGCGCGGAAGGGATGAAGACGGCTCGGCCAATGTGTGGGATGCTGACGTTAGGGTGTGCCAATTGCACAAAAGTCGCCTCCATTCCCGGAAGCGCGCAGAAAGCATTGCTCCCTTCGCTCTGCCGTCCCTTCCTCTCCCCGCTCCGCCCCCTCGCTGGCCTCAGCCAATGAACACGCACGGCAGTGCGCGCTGGGGGGACGTTCTGTGACGTGTCCGCTACGTACGCTTTATCAATCGTCTTCCCGCGCGGTAGCCTCCCTGTTCTCTCCGGTCCTTAGAGCTCGCTGTCTGTCCGGCTCTTTTGCTTTTTAACTTCCAGGTAAGCTGCTTATGTCCTGCGGTGCGGCCGCTCCCTGCCTCACTCTCATGCGCCGCGCCGGCCCGAGCAGGGGGCGCCAGAGGGGAGAGTAGCGGCCGCTGACACGTAGGCTTGGGCTTCTCTGGGGCGGGCGGGTCCCGGGCTCGGAGGTGGAACATTTCGGTTGATGGGAAGCTGAGGCGTCTTGGCCGAGTGCGAAGAGCACCAGGAGGGGCTGGCGGCGTCGGTGACCGTCGTGACCACGCGGCAGCCGATATTTGCTGCCCTTCTTTTCCCACGTGACCGCCGCCATCTTGTTTTGCGGCGCAGAGGGAACGCAAGGGTGCCCTGGGCTTGCGCCGTAGCACAAAATGACGGGCGTGGTGGCGGAGGATGTTGTGGGCATGCGCGACGGTGGCCCCCAAATGGCGACTGCGCGGGGCCGGCCCCGCCCCGAGGATTCCCGCCTTTTCAGCTTTCCTCCCGAGTCTCTGTTTAGTTACTCTTTATTTTTTCCTTTCTTCTGTTTTCTGCCTCTCTTCACCCTTTTTCTTGAGTTCTCAAATCGCTTCTTCCTCTCCCTACTTCGTTATTTCTGCCACCCTTCTCTATATTCTCCCCACAGGACTCGAACTCACAGCCATGTCTTCTGAAGAAGGAAAGCTCTTTGTGGGAGGGCTCAACTTTAACACCGATGAGCAGGCACTGGAAGACCACTTCAGCAGCTTTGGCCCTATTTCTGAGGGTGAGGCAGGGGCCAGACCCACGATGGGGACAAGTGAGGGGAAGTCAGGGACTCGTGCATTTTAAGGAACATTAAGAGAAAAGTCAGGGCACTGAGCCTTCAAATTCTCCTTTTCTTCCTAAGCCTAAGGTGTCCCAAATTTTGCTTTCAGGATTGGTGGGAGGTGTTGGTTCTCCCTCCCCACCCCTGTCCCCTTTTCAGGCCACCCCTTGCCACTTACCTTTTCTGGTGCTAACTGATCCACATTGCTCCATCTCTCCCTTCTCCAGTGGTTGTTGTCAAGGACCGGGAGACTCAGCGATCCCGGGGTTTTGGCTTCATCACCTTCACCAACCCAGAGCATGCCTCAGATGCCATGAGAGCCATGAATGGAGAGGTGAGGCCTCCTACCTGCAGAGGGGTCCTGCCCCCATCTGCCATCTCCTCCATTCTTTCTGTTTTTCCCCTCTATGTCTGCTAGGGGCAGCGCGGCCACCAAACCCCGCAGTGCCCACTCACAGGAGCATGACTGCCTTCTGTTCTAGGGGGTGGAGGGCAGCGGCAGACAGAGCCGGGCTGCCTGGGAGGCGACGACTGGTCCTGCATGAGGCCGAGAAGCCACCCGTGGATGGTTGACCTGCCTTGGGCTTAGGTAGTAGAGTCTGCAGACCTGTGGGCCTGGCCCGGAGAGGACCTCGTGAGTCTTCTGGGATGGACTCTGAAGCCTCAAACCAAGAGAGGTGTCAATCTAGCCCTAATAGTCGGGCAGCTTAGAGGAGTGGGGAGGAGAACTCAGCCTGAGTTCAGTCAAGATGTAAGTAGTAGCAGGGGGAACATGGTGGATTCAGGTCATTTTGTGGGATCCTGTAGCTCCTGATGAAGCCATTTTGTCCAAGGAGCTTATTCTGGAACATGGCACCCAGAACCTGGTGCCCAGCAGGAATTTCTGGGCCCTTTTGCCCACTTGCCCATGCCCACTCTTAACTTACCACTGCCCTGACTGACCACCAACCCATCCTCCTTGTGTCTCCCTCCCATACCTAGTCCCTGGACGGTCGCCAGATCCGTGTTGACCATGCAGGCAAGTCTGCCCGGGGAACCAGAGGGGGTGCTTTTGGGGCCCGTGGTCGTGGCTACTCTAGAGGTGAGTGCAGTGGTAAGTTTGATCGTGGGGCGAGAGGGAGAGTCACCTGCTCGTGGCCTGTGTGGACAACTACCATTTATCTGCTGTAGGTGGTGGGGACCAAGGCTATGGGAGTGGCAGATATGACAGCCGACCTGGAGGATATGGATATGGATATGGACGGTCCAGAGACTATGGTGGCAGGTGGGTAGCCAGGGAGTTGGAGTATTTTGTTGTCATTTCCCTCAAAAGGTCTGCTGCCCAGGTGCTCATATCCATAGTTTAATATCTGTATAAATTTTATGCCTTAAAATTGTGCTTGCTACATATAATATTTAAAATAATTGTTTTACACATCCAAAGTTCATATTAAGATATAACGAAATGTTACTTATACAATTAATGTTTTTTTTAAATTGTGTATTTTTTTCTAGAAACCAGGGTGGTTATGACCGCTACTCAGGAGGAAATTACAGAGACAATTATGACAACTGAGATGAGACATGCACACATAATGTAGGTAAGACTTGGCTATTGGCACTGAGCAGACTCCTGTTCATATAACCCTGTCATGACCCTCTCACCTTTTCTTCTGGCCAGACTGCTTGACATTTCTCCTGCCCTCATACTTCACCCTGCCAGCCCACCAAACACCATTCCTAGGCCTCCCTTGCTCTCAGGTGCATGTCAGGTCTAGTCTGCTTGGGGGAGGAGGTGATCTGAAAACCCATCTCCTGTTGTCCTCTACTCTTGGTATGGGGTGGAGAAGATGAAGGGATGTCCCTGTTGCCCAGCCCTCAGCATCTTTATCAACTCTAGTGAGCTTGTTGTCAGCCTGTTTCTTCCTGACATCACAATTCTCCCCCTTCTTACTGTTCTCAGATACACAAGGAATAACACTTCTGATCCAGGATCGTCCTTCCAAAATGGCTGTATTTATAAAAGATTTTTGGAGCTGCACTGAAACATCTGTTTTTATTACACCAACTTCTATTTTTCAATTGCGCTCCCAAGGTAGCTTATTAAAGACCTTTTAGAAAGCTCCATGTGTTTTTAAAATTTTTCTCTCCCATTTAAAGACAAATTCTAGGACATTTGTAGAGTCTGGGTATTTTTTCTTTGATGAGTTTTTTAGTTTAGGATCTCAGGATTATTGGTTCTAGCAATAATGGGTTCTGGCAAGTTTGGCCAGACTGATAAAAATTAATGTGTATCAAGGGACATTTAAGAAAATTCTGTATACAATGTTTATTATGGTTATGAAGCAATTTCAAAATGTACCTATAAGAAATCTGCATCAAGAACATGATTACCTAGGGGCGTTTTTTTACTCAAGATCACCAACCTGGTTATATAGAAGAGCTTCTTAAAAATGTATGTGAATGTCATTTTTTTAAAATACTGGAAAAAAATATTCTGTTGTGTCTCATATAGTGTTTAGGATGTCCTTCACGGAGCTGATTAAAAAGTTGAAACCTGAAAACAAGCTGCTTTTTCCTTACTCACCTACTTTGCAGATCAGTAGGAGGGAGGCTTGGAGAAAGTTTGGTAGCGGGTGGGCAGGGACTGCCAAAAGGATAGGTAAGGCGCCTCAAGTTTCACAGTTTGGTTGAGTTTGGGATTGGTTTGGTGTAAGATATGGGTACAGGTGAAATCTACTTCTGAGTGGAACTGGGTTTCCTGAGATAGGGTCTCTTGGTCCCGTTGTCAGATCAGTGTTTGAATTTGAGTCTCCCTAGTTTGAGCATTAGGTGGGCCCTCTTCTCACAGGATTGTTCTGAAAATTTTTAAGCACCTAACCTCATGACATGAGTTAAAACCTGTCATAGTGGTGCCAGTTCATTCCTTCACCTGAAATGATAGGAGTTGGGGAGAGGTACACTTAACTCATCTGTGTGGTAAGGGACATGGGAGAAACCTGGTTTGAAAATAGTCCTAAGAGCTTGGGCTATATCCAGACTCTAGGATTCAAATTGGGGCTCTGTTGCTTCCCAGCTAATTGACCTTAGGTAAGCAAACCTCAGTCTCATGCATTTTACCTTTTCTGTGAAGGGTTAAATGAATAGGTATATAAAGCCGTTGAGAACAATTGGCAAAGCTCTTGTCACATGGATTCAATTTTTTGGTGTGTTGGGTGGTAAGGTGGTGATGGCTTGTTTTTAATCTGATTTTGTACCACTAGTTGGTCTTAGTTCCCCAGTTCTATTTGTTCCTTTAGTTATGTGTTTTTTTAGTAGTTTTATTGGGACCCATGGGTGTTATCCTGGTTACAATTGGAACAAAAAAATCTGTTTATAGCTTTTTCACCTGGCTAGTATTGAGCCAGGTTACCACAAGGTTGCAAATTCCAGAGCATTCTTATCCTACACTACCTTAATCGTCTTTCGGGGGGTATGAAGCACTGTATTATGAGTCCCAGTCCTGGAGACCTGACTCCTGGGTGTCTCAGCTAGTTGGGACAGGCCCCAAGGCCCCTTCTTCCTCCCACCCAAACAGTCATGAATTTGCTTTGGCAGGTGGATGGAGACTCAGGAACTTCCCAGACTTCTGCCTCGCCCACTGAGCCAGTCCCAGGTTATGGGGCATTGTGGCTAACCCCCCACCAGGTGGGTACTTGGTCTGAGGAGGCATTCTGTTCTGGGCCTTTGGGGAGCCAAGGCAGTGGGAGCCAGCAGGCAGACCACCATTACTGCCTTGTTGGTGGGGGAGGGGGCAGGGAGGGTCCTCTGTTCCCTGCCTCAGGATGCTAATGTACCTCTTACCTCCTGTGTCTGAGGTGGGGTCCCATAATCCGCCATAGTATTTCTGCAACAAAGTGACCCTTGAGTGAGATCAATAAAGACTATAAATAGCATCAGGGGCCTTTCTGTATAACAGCTGTCAACCTTCTCTGCTTTCCTAATTTTAGGTGATTTGCAGCAGTCTAGCCTAGGGAGGCCCAGTTTCTTGCCTGGTCTCAGTGCAGTTCCAAAGTGCAGGTTCAAAGTGCCCTTTAAAGTGCTTGTTAGTCTCCTGCTTTGGTTTGTCTCCAGCACTCCATTACATGCTTCCCAAGAATCCATTGAGACCACAAAGGTACCTTGAGAACATGTGTCCAAGACCTGCAGGTATTTTATTTTCAAGACCTGGATCTTGTCTGTTGTGAAAATCTTGATACATCTTTTAAACAACTCACCCAAAATCCTTTCTCCAGGTCCAGAATAAATTATTAGATTGGCTTTCAGTTTTCAGTTTGACTTTCAAATCCCAAGCTCCACCCCTTACCTCACCTGGGCAGAAATTGCTTTTCAGAATTTGCTTAATTTCTTCTCTGCCTCAGTTTCAACATCTGAAAAGTGGAAATAATAGTGCCCACCTTACAGAGGGGCTAAGGGTATTAAATATAGAATGATTAAAAAATGGGCCAGGTTCATTATACTGCCCCCCACACCCTTGTCCCACATTCTGGACTGGGGGAGGTATAAGAAACTTTCAAAAAGTTTGGTTGCTGTGGATACTTCAGGTAGATAAAACATGGGTGACAGCTGGTGTTCATACCCTTCTTACCTGCCAAAGCCCCTCTGCAGCATTCCACCTGTTTCCAAGTTTGGTGTTAAGATCTGACCTGAGGCTTTTCATAACCTTGACCCTGGGAATATGCACACAGTGTACCACAAAGGTTAGTGTTTGGTTAAGAGGAGCTGTTCTGGATCCTATGGGGGTTGGGTCTTTTATAAAAACTGTGTGTACACAAGTTTAGGCTTCTACATTGTTCAGAATAATTCATGCCCTTATTTTCAATAAACATTTCTAATATCCTGTTGAAGAGTCTGTTTTTTAAAATACTTTATCCATTTACTCATTGTTCCCATGAAAGGACCGTATGTGCAAAGCATCCCCCAAATGTTAAAGGAACTTAGAAACCAAAGAACAGAGAAGACATTCCAGGTTGTCCCTAAAAGGTTAATTGGGAGAACTGTACAGAAGCGTTTTCGTGCCAGCAAGACAGGTCTTGGTAAAATTATTCCCCAGGCCCAGGGCTTATATATCGTAGGGGAAAAGGTGTGTCTGCTCCTACAGGACAAAGAACCATCTCAAAGAGGTGAGAATATTACGTTTACAACCTATAATTTGTGTGATAACATCAAGGTTGACATGTTCAGACACTAAGGACAGTAAAGTAGAAGTCAGGAGGTATTTGCGGAACTGGGGCTAATCAGAAACCAACCTGGTGGGTTGGCATCGTATATGGTGTTGCGACTGGTGTTATGGTGAAGGTTGGAAGATCAGCATGTGAGTCTGTCTTATAAAGACTTGTCCTCAAAAGGCCATTTGGTAGCTGGGTACAGTGCCTTACAGCTGTAATCCTCCCACGTCCTAAGATTGAAGCAAGAGGATTACCTGAGACCAAAGATTCTAGCCCAAAGTGAGGTTCCTACTCAAAGAAAAGGGACTAACTTTAAAAAAGTTGGTAAAGCAGAGGGCCTTAGAAGCGGGAGTTCAATAAAATTGCTACTTACCTTAGCAAAGAATGTATGGATATCCAAGCTTGTATGCAATGAGGTTTAACTCATGCAAAAACCTTTACTTAGGAAATGTACCTACTTGAGAAAGCAAATTCACCTACTCATCACCCAGCAAACTCCTATTTTCTTGAAGGTTCAGCAGGTACATGAAAACCATGTTTAAATATAAGTACGTCTGTCAATAATCACATTGTTAGCTAAATTAATGTCTATCTCTCGCTTGTTTTGAAAATCTTAGTAATTTTTTGGTGGAAACTTTTTGCATTAGCTTAATTTTTTGCCCAGTTTTTTTTTTGTTTTTTGGGTTTTTTTGAGTTGGAGTCTCACTCTGTCACCTAGACTGGAGTGCAGTGGCCACTCCCGGCCACCACAGCCTCGACCTGCTGGGCTCTGGTGATCCTTCCGCCTCAGCCTTACAGTAG